ACATAATATTGGCCCTTTAATACTTAGATTGTTTGGAGTGGAAGGACATATACGGCACAAAGTTAGGGACAGAAATAATAAAGAAATACCCAGTTTTTTCTTATTTTAATTGTTTATTCAAGCCAAAAAATATATTATACATACATTTTCATATGTATGTATGCAAGCGTACATTCAGGCTTTAAACTTTCATTTTATGCAGCTTAAGAAATGTTGCAGCAGTATAATCTGTAAATTTCTCTTTTTAGTTGCATCAGGTTTTTTTTATTATTCAAATCAAAATAGTAAGTCAGTGCACGGGATAAATAGTGCCTGTAAAGCTGTGCAGTGGGTACACCTCTACACTCACACTGCATCCATGCCCTTTGTCCTCATTTTTGAAAGCCACACAATAAGCTGGAGATTCGCTCACAACCTGCGTTCATTGTTGACAACTCAGCCCCTTTGACAGCATGCTTTTCAAAAAAAAGCAACTCGTGTTAAATGTATCGATGTGTTGGATAAATAGTCACTTTTTTTCTTCTTTTTTTTCCATTGAAGAGGGATGTCAGAGCACTCACGTCTCTTCATTACCCGTGTGTGTGATCTGTAAAGCACATAGGGCTTTGAGCTGCAGAGTTAAATAAACTTTTTTTAAAGTCCTTCTAGGTTTAAACACAATCCAAATTAGTAGGTGCCAATTTAGTGTTATTTAATTGGATTTTAAAGTGCAGATTCTGAATATAATTGTACAGAAACAAGAGATTACACAATGCGTTTAATTCACATCTGCATTGCTATCTAATTGACCTTGTTTTGTAGGTTTTAGCTTACAACACTTTATGGTATCTTTATCTACAACTTGTTGACTAAGAAAGCTGCACCTTAAAAACCATGATTGTTTTGCTTTTGTTTAAACTCGTGATTTATTTTTTAGCCCTTCACTTAAATTTGACAATTTTTTTTCCAATCACTTTTAAGCCGCTGGGTTAAAGGTAATTGCTTTATTGAAGGGCGTGCGCTGCTTACTCATTATTTCTTCATCAACTAACCAGGTAAACCTGGAGTTAGTTCTATGTGAGGCATTTGTCTTCAGAAGCTGTTGCTGTAAACCAACAGCGTGAAGTCAAAGGAGCCCTAAGTGCACTTTAAACTGATCATCGTCTGTCTTTAAGAGCAACGCAGCTCCGTCTGGAAAATAGCTGGAAGACTGGGAATTGTCAAATAAAATCTTTGTCTGATTCTGGAGAAAAATTATTCCACTGGGCAACATAAAAAGGGCTGAATGTCCACACAATAGGAAGACAAAAGTAAGGGGTGGAACTGCTGCTGAGTTATGAATAAATCAAAACGAAAGACAAAAATACACAAAATCAACATCATAAAGAAGGAAAACTCTCATGGAAACATTCAAAACAGTTAATTATTGTAAAAAAATTGAAATGCTAAATGTTTGGATCACATGTTTGAAAATACACAAGAACATATGAGCCCCAGTAAAATAATGTTTACATTTAAAGGAGTTTGGTSTAAATCTGTCCTCTGACTTAAAGCTAACAATTTACACTTTATGACCATAGGTGAGGGTTGGAATATAGACAGAACTGTAAATCAAGAACTTTGCCTTTCGACTCAGCTCTTTCCTCACCACGACTGACCAAAGCAACGCCCTCATTACTGAGGATGAGGCCCCAACRTCTCAATCCATCTCCCGCTCCATCCTGCCATCACTCGTGAACAAGAAACCRAGATACTTCAACTCCTCCACTTGAGGCAGAGACTCTTCCTTGACCCAGAGGGGGCATTCCACCCTTTTCCAGTCCCTTTCCGTTCTTTTAACAATGACCGAAAGAACGAGACCCAGGATATAAATGGACGAAATGATCTTCCTTCACTGGGCTCAGCCGTATAGCCGCTGCTCCTCCACATRGAAAGGAGTCAGTTGAGGTGGTTCGYGCATCTGATTAGGATGCCTCCTGAACGCCTCCCTTTAAAGGTGTTCCGGGCACGTCCCACTGGTAGGAGGTCCTGGGGAACACCCAGGACTCACTGGAGGGATTACGGACCCTCTCCAGCCTGGGATCTCCTAGGGGTCCCCCCAGGATGAGCTGGAAAGTATCGCTGGGGAGAGGGATGTCTGGGTTTCTCTCCTGGACCTGTTGCCTCCGCGACTCGACTACGGCTAAGCAGAAGAAGACTGAGATGGAGAATTTWCCCTTTAGACCCACATTAATGTAACTGTGGATAAAACTAATACATTTGTTTGAATTTGTAATGTTTTTCACATGTTCTGTCCTATCTGTGAGGCTGCAACTTTTCCTTTTAAACACAAAGCGAAACAAAAGAAATACGGCTTTGAATCAAATGTAATATTTCCTCACTGAATCCACTTTAATTTTTTTTGCTGCGTTCGGAGAGTCGAGTTGAGCAAAGATCTTGACAAAAGATTTGCTCGAGTATAATATCCTCCCACTGCTCCTGATTTTGACATGTTTGGTTTCAGCAGTGAGATGCACGAGGAGTATCCATTTAATTGTCATGCCGTGATAACTATAATCTTTACTGTACGTCTTCCGCTGCCAGCTGCCTGTGAATGAAAGTTTAGTTTATGTTGTCTCTTAATTGGATTTTCTTCTCTTCTTGTCTGTGAGAAAATGCTTCAGTGAGTGCTCTTTTCCTCTCCCCGCACAGGATGATCCCAGCTTTACAGATGAACTCAGAGAATTTATCCAAAACGAAGTAATGAGAATTTTTGAAGGTATATATTGTTTGATATTTCATTTGGTTCAAGTGTTTTGGATTATTTATTTTTATTTATTTATTTTTTGTTATTCATCCTACCTAGCTTAAATTTTCCTTCTTGTTTTGTCAACTCTAAAACCTCTGCGCATGAATTCTTTTTTCTATTACTTGTCTGACAGAGAAAGTGTCCAGCCATGGKATGCAGCAGAAGAAACCTGCTGGCATCTTAGCCTCACAGATCCAAGGACCTCCTGGACCCCCTGGCAAGGATGGAACACCAGGTCCTCCGGGAGAGCCTGGGCCACCTGGTCCTCAAGGTAGGAGCTCAGGACTGATGGCTGAACTGCTGCTTGAAATGAAAACATCAAGTAAAAAAAACAAATTCAATTAATTGCTTTTTTTGGGAATTAAATAATGTATCTGTTAATCCATTTTTTACCCTTCTTTCATGACTCAGTTCCAAAAATATTGGGATGTTGTGTAAAATGCAAACAAAAAAAACAGAATGCAATAAATTTCAAAAACCCTTAATATGTGCACAATGTAGCAAAGTATAAAATGTTGAAATAAAAATAATAAATATTGTACCATTTTCTACTTTTTTAAATGATTGCAGCAATTTTTTAGCAACTAATTAAAATGCATAAAAGCAAAGTAGAAAACTGTTCTGTGGTCAGATAAATTAAATTTCTAATTATTTATCGGAAACCACATCCTCCATATTAAAAAGGACAGGTACCACTTTGCTTATTATCGACACGCAGTTCAAAAGTTTGCCTCTCTGATTGTATAAGGGTGCATTAGCGCCTGTGGCAGGGCTATTCAATTAAATTGCTCCAGGAGCCGGGGTTACTCTAAGCTTACAGCTCGAGAGCCTGACATCCACATCAGGGGGTGCCCAGTAATGGTAGGTGAAACACTGCAGCATG